AAGTTGCTCAGTTTATTTTTCTGCACGGCATGTTTTATTATTATTTCTTTTACAGGGACCTTCCCTGGTCCTTGCCCGGCCGGGCGGCCCGGTTTATCACACAGCAAAAAACAGCAAACACACAAAAAAAAACAAAAGTTTCACAAAAAGAAAGACTGTACTGATCCGATCATCAGTCCAACAAACCAACCGAAAAGTGGTGGGCCTACTGGAAACCAGTGCAGTCGTATGAGGTACGTCTCCATAAGAGCGGTTTGGCAAGCGAACCACCACCAACCTGGTACCTTCCCGGCCACGAACAGCTCACTGCGCGTTCCTGCTAGCATCGAATGAATGGCCCCTGCGTCCTGTTCTAATCGGACTTCCACTGACTATTTCAAAGGGAAATTTACTTTCTTTTCTGTTTTCAGAGAGGTGAGCGCCTTAAGATATCGTTCATCATTCAGCTGATCGCCCCCAGGTAATTCAGGATTACATTATTCTGCTCATCTCATTGCATCAGGATTCGAGCTCCAGTCTGTACTGCAACACCTCATGCGTGTACCAACTGCGCTAGGCCCGTTTGTCCAAAAGGAAATCCGCGAGCAAACACGGCTCAATGTGCCAGCGATTTTCGTTCGCCGCGACGCATGTAAGGCACAGAGGAAACGACGTCAAGGAGTTGTTCCTCCCACTACTTGTGCGACTTCGCTCCTTCGCTTGTGAACTTGGCGGACATACCCGCAACTGGATTTCTGTGGATGTATGTAATGCAAATTTATGGCAGTATTCAATTGAGAATTTGAGAGAGATTGAGAGAGATTGAGAGAGTAGCAGTGTATGTCCTATAGAGGTCTCTAAGATGGACTTAGACAAAATCCAGCAATGATGTTGGCACTGCACGCATGAGCATACACATACATGATGCTATGGTTGAAGACTGATTACTTCGTTGCCGTATTCTGGTACATAATACGGACCTAGGCTACCAGCCGGGCCGCCCGGGTCACCCTATTTTCCCGGACGGCCCGGCCGTGCAAGGACCAGGGAAGGTCCTAGCAAAAAAAAAAAAAAAGAAAAGAAAAAACTCCCCAAAAAAACTATGTTACGCAGAAAAATAAACTGAACAACTTTTGCCTCAGGGTCACATCGAAATTCTTTACCATATTTTAAAAAAATAATAAAGTTGAAAAATAATTTTTTTTATTTTTTTTGGCCCGGCCGGGCAAGTGGGCCCGGGCGACTCTGGTAGCCTAGATACGGACCTAATTACCAGAATAAGGGCAGACTCACAACTAGGCTACCAAAGTGGCCCGGGACCACTTGCCCGCGGAGGACCAAACAAAAAAAAATAGTTTTGAAATTTCAATGTTAATTTGGTAGAGAATTTGACTGTCACCCAAAGGCAAAAATTATTCAGTTTATTTTTCTGGAGAACAAAGTCTTTTCCGGATTTTTTGGATTCTCTTTTTTCGGAAGGGACCTTACGCAGCCCCTTCCCGTGCAACCAAGGTGAGCGCGCCGCCCCGACACCAAGAAGATTTCAGAGTGTTTTTCTCCTCAGACATTCCTTGAAAGTTGAAACAATGTTTTTAATTTTTACAGATTACACACATATTTCTTTTCCAATTCGATTTCGAGCTGGATTTATTTGGAACTGACTTTTTGGAATCAATTCTTCAGTACACACACACACACACACACACACACACACACACACACACACACACACACACACACAGAGACACGCACGCACACAGGCAGAGATACACACACAGACACACATGCAGGCACGCCAGTGAGTTTTGCACAGGAAGTATTAACTGTCTCAATATTCATCGAGGCCAATAGTTGACGCAATGTGGT